AGAAGGGTGCAACAATGAATGAATGGAATCCCAAAGTCTCTGTAGATGTTCATTGAAATGAAAAATAAACAACCTAAATTTAAAAAAAAAAGTTGCAAATAGAGATACCATTTGACCCAGCAATTCCACTACTGGGAATACACCCCAAAGAGACCATAACTGATATCTAAGCAGATATATGCACACCCATGTTTATTGAGGCTTTGTTCACAGATCAGTTTTTCATCGGGTCATTATGAGCTGTACATGACTCAATGACACCTGAAAACAACAACAACAACGCACAGATTCAGAACTGAAGTGTGTTTTAAATTGTAGTAGGAACACTGGCCACCTGAAGAATTGCACTGCTAATCCAAAGGTGGGCAGAATCCACCAGCTACTCCTCAAGAGAAAGACGGAGATTTTCCTCCTGTGCTATTTACAGCCTCGAAAGCTGCCGCAGCATCAGGTATGGGCTGGTTCTGACTTGAAGGCAAGAAGTTTGAGGTGTCTCTACCTCCCTGCTTAAATTTGCTGGTATCACTTTTATTACTTGTAACAATTTTGAGTTTTATTCCATATGCTTTATTTTAAATTATATATACATCCTTAATACTATTTTGGAAGGTCCAAAAAACCCCAGTGCTGTCTGTCATGTTGATTCCAACCAATTCAAATGACCCCACAGGGGTTCCAAGGCTTCAGTCTTCAGGGAAGATTTTTTTTTTGCCTAGCCATTCCACCAGCTGATTCACTTTTGAGAAGTTAATGTAGTATAAACTTAATCTAGTTGGATTAAGAATGGAAGAAGAGAGCCAATGGCTGAGAGAAGTGAAGAGAATCATTAGGAAAACGAAGGTCTTTTTCACGTAAAGGGAAATGGTGGTGGTTGTTGTTAGATGCCTTCAAGTACGACTTCTAGTGACCCTATGGGTAAGAGTCCTGAATCCTGTCCTATCTTGTCCCATCCTCATCGTCTCTGACACACTTGAGCCTATTGCTGCAGTCACTGTGTCAATCCATTGCATTAGGGGTCTTCCTCTCCTTCACCGACCCTCCACCTTTCTAAGCATGCGTGATATCCCTTTCCAAGAGCTAGCCTCTCCTAGCAACATGTCCAAAGTGTGAGAGAAGAAGCTGGGCCATCCTTGCCTCCGGAGGGTACTCTGGCTGCTCTTTTCCAGGATATGTCTGTTTTTTTGGCAGCCCATGGGAAATTTGGTACTCTCCTCCAGCATCATGACTCAAGGGCATCACTTTATAAATCTCAAGAGAAGAGGTGTGAATCCTTTTTAAAATTATTTCTGCATTTCTTCCCAGTGTCACCATGTACTTTGTTCCCTGTGTGGGAACAATACTTCCCAAAGATAGAGGAGATACGACTGTGGAGTTTAGCTGTGTTCTGGAGAAGGTTCAGTCCTGGCAGAAGGAGGGTGATGGGGCGGGCGAGGCAGTGAACACTGAAGCAGCTCAGCTCTCCTGTGGCCAGTCTCAGTTCTTTTCTTGCAGGGCGATTAGGAGCAAGGTCTGGGGGACCTCTCCCATTTATCTGTTTCTTTCTCTTCTTCTTCTTCCTATCTCCCTTCTCACAAAACAGTGCGTGGTGAGGTTCTATTCCCAGTAGGGGCTATCTAATTGGTAATTTTCCAACTCTTCTAGTTCTCATTCTAGCTGTGAAAAGGAAGAGGTGCCTTTTCTCAGCCATTTACTGAATTGATGCCTACAGCTTCCAAACTTTGGGAATACAACTAGCCAGGCTGCCCTCAGCACCGGTACAACATCCTGTGCCCAACGACTACTCACTGATTAAGTAGAAGACAATCATTATTGTTACAAATATTGTTATAGAGAAGATGGGTCTTAGATGGTTCTCCTTTATCATCATCTCCGAGTACCCTCCACGGAATTGATTCTTTGCTTTGTCAGAGCTGAAAGACCATTCATCTTTTTCATTCCTTGGCCACTTCATAAAATGGTACTGTCCAGCAAAATATTATTTAGTAGCAAAATAGATTTTAATAAAAAATCATTTTAACTGAATAAAAATGTGTACCAGCAACTTTCCCAACAGACAGCAGAGTATGTACATTTTGTGAAGGTGGAGCAGCATCTATTTAATATATTTTTTAATATAGAAAATACAGGCATATTTAAAAAATAGAAACATAAAAATATGTCACAAAGAATAACAAAATATATCACAAAATAAAAGGTAAACTGAAAGAAACACATTTTTCTAAGTGAAACAAGATCCAGCACCAGGTTGGTCTTTCTGTGAGTTCCAGGATGCCCAGGCTCTACCAGGAAGAGGTGACCCTGCGGGGGGACAGCCAGTGAGTTGCGCAGTGCTTAATAGCCAGTCCTCCTCTTCCTAGAAAACAAACAGATACAAAAAACCCCGAAGAATGAACTGAAGAGTTAACGGAGGATTAAAATGCTGAGGTGTTAGCTATGATGCTACGAGGAATAGAAAACCCCACTCTACAGGGAGGAGAACGGGACTCTGGAAAGATGAGGCCAGATGGGAGATGATGAGGCTTCACATAGCTGTCAAGACCTCAGTTCCCACCCGCCCCCCAAGAGACTTTGCATTTCCTGTCTTTAGGTTCCATACAAGGCTTATCACAACACATTTCTGTGTAAGCTATTAGAGCTGCAACATGAGAACCTGAATTAATACATGTTTCTTAGAAGAAGCAATTTTAGTATGTCATTGTTAAATGTCGTCGAGTTGAGCACAATTCATAGTGACCCTATGAACAAAAGACTTGAATCCTATTCTATAAC